GGGGGGGGGGGGGGGGGAAACGGAGAGGAGGGGGGTAGAGGGTAGAGGGTCCGATTTGCCACTGGCAACCATTGTGAACACAGGTTTGTCTGCACCTGCGGGCAAATGCCCCCCGTCCCTTCCCAACCACCCAGCACCACGGAACTGCCGAAAAGACTCCCGTGTGGTCCTGGTCCTTGCGATACCAGCAGCAAGCGAAAGACTCACCAAAACCCGTTATAGCCAGGTCTAACGTCCAAATGTCGTTGCACTTAGAAATGCATAGTGGGGTAGTAGTGATGCTTTGTTGGCATGGGTTTTACATGTGTACCTTCCTCTTTAGGTCAAATCAGTCGCCACGTCAACAGGCAGAGAAAGGCCCCATTCCAAGGAATGGGGCTCATAAACCACCCACCAGACCAGAAGTTGCACGTTACCTACACCTCCACCGCAGGGCCAAGGAGTCTGTCCATCCACAACATCCCAAATTTCCCAATCGAGTGTGCAAGGGACTCCGCTCCCAAGCGTGCCTCAGTCCGTCCACAACATCCCAAATTTCCCAATCGCGTGTGCAAGGGACTCCGCTTGCAAGCGTGCCTCACTCTTCACAGAACCCCTCTGAGCCAGACTGCTTCCAGGTCCTATCGGATGGGTCGAGCAGTCGGAATCGCATGATTCCAGTGGACGCAAAGGATAAGCGCACAGCGATCGACAGAACCTCGCCTCCTACCTTCGGAGTTGAGCACGGCCAACAGGCGCTGGAACAAACTTCCTCCGAGTCCCACATGTCCCACACCACTTTCTTGCGAGGACCAAACTTCCTCCTCCAAGTCCCACATGTCCCATCACATTCTTGCGAGGCCCAAACTTCCTCCTCCAAGTCCCACATGTCCCACCACGTTCTTGCGAGGACCAAACTTCCTCCTCCAGTCCCAGATGTCCCACCACTTTTTATTTGCAAGGCAGAAAGGAATCCCGATGAGAACAGAAGAGTCAAAGCCAAAGACACGTGAGATGCGTTGCACCTGGTCAGGAGAGGTAATCAAGCCACAGAGGGAAAGCTGAAAGGCACCGGAGCAAAGTAGTTCCACCTTGAAGTCTGGGCTGTCACAACATCCATCGTGAGGCCGAAAAACTTCGCGGCAAAAACAATCGAAGAGCTCCCCGACGTCACACCATCGTTTGCGAGAAAGAAATTGTGAGGGCAATGAAAAAGAGCGAGATCCATCGTGAGGCCGAAATCGCGGGAAAAACAATCAAAGAAGTCCCCGACGTCGCACCAACGTTTGCGAGAAAGAAATTGTGACGGCAATGAAAAAGAGCGTCTGAGCGAAAGTACCGAAAGATATGGATGGCGCTGATCATGCGAGCCTCAGCTGCTAATTAAGACACGGTGGGAAAAAGCGGAATGAAACGCACTGGATCACACCTCCTTCAAGCGGCCAACGTCACAACACCCATCGCAAGGAGGAAATCATGGCAGAAACAAAGGAAGAGGAGCAGGAGCGCGTCTAGAACGCTGTGCTGGTCGCGGAGCTTTTCCTCCACTATCGGCGATGTACGTACGTATGAACGTACCTGCGTTCATGAGATTTTATCGGCAACGTACACCTGCAAGGTAAGACCCGGCCAGAGACGAAAACCAGAAAGACGCCCGCCGCGTTCCTCAAGAGCCACCATGAATGCCCCCCCTACCACCACCACCACGGCTTTTCATCAACCCCAGTGCCACAGCCGCCATAGGTGGGGAATGCAACACCCCTTCAACACCCCCTTGTTCTTGAGAATGTATACGCCAACTAATTAATGGGCTTTCACTATGCCTAGTATTGCCTACCTTTTTACGAAAAGTCTCACGTACGGGCATCGGCCTTGACGCCTCCACCCCCCTCCAACAAGAATCTCCTCTAGTGCAATCTAGTCATTTCCTCTACTCTCTTGCACAACTCCTCTACAGGTACATCCATCATCCGCGACACCTCGTCCATCCGATGTCTCTTCAAATCTAGGAAGGCCTCGATCAGGTCCCCGTCCAAGAAGTTCTTCGCGTCCGTTGTCCGCCGCTCGTTGCAGAACGATCGCCATTGGTCGTGACTGAACCCCCCTACACCCTTGATCACCTGCAAAATCAACAAACAGCAATCCCCCTCAGAAAATTCAGATTTTCTTTTCTTTGTCACTAAATTTCAGAATTATAATCATTTTCATCGTCATCATCGTCATCATCGTCAACATCATCATCATCAGCAGCAGCAAGCTCTCTCGACATCAGTGCAACAAACAGACATGAATCTCTGTCACAAAATTATCAACACCATCATCAGCAGACACTCAAATCAATGCAAGCCTCGAAGACAGATAGGGAATAAATCCACTTAGAAAACTGTATAGCCATGGATACAGGTTCGCTGATAGAACCTTATGGCCTCGGTTCACCGTGCAAGGTTCTAAACAAAATGTAACTGGACTGATAATGGTCGCAGATTCAAGAACAGCAACAGCATCCCTCTATACTGGGCATGACCTCATTTGTATCCGTGTATATCCACCCACATTTGGACCAGATACGATCGAACATGTTGAATGTATTGGGACCACCGCTAGATCCAGATACATTCAGAATGTTGAGTAATGGAACGAGACCCTTAGTCTGCAGATTCACAGACTGAGTCTTTCCATACCGGAAACAACCTGAATTTGTCCTGAACTTGAACCAGATACGTCCAGATCGATCGAGCACTTTGAATGTATATTGGGACCATTACGTTCGGAATGTTGAGCGACCAGACACAATCGAACATGTCGAATGTATTGGGACCACTGCTAGATCCAGATACATTCAGAATGTTGAATAGTGGAACGAGACCCTTAGTCTGCAGATTCACAGACTGCGTCTCTCCACACCAGACACAACCTGAATTTATCCTGAACTTGAACCAGATACGTCCGGACCAATCGAGCACTTTGAATGTATATTGGGACCATTGCGTTCAGAATGTTGAGCGGTGGATGGAGACCCTTAGTGTGCTGCCGATTCAACACCAACGACGGATCAGACAAAGTTACATTTTTTTCTTTTTTTTTTGGGAAACAAAGTCACATTAGTGAATGCTGCTACCCCTAAAAGGACAGATTAGACAAAGATATAATCGACCAGATGGTTTCAAACCGATCAAATATTTTGAACGTATCGGGTCCACTACCAGCTCCAGAAACATCCACAAATTCTAGTAGTGGATTGAGGCTCTTCGTCGGCAGATTCAAATGGAACGCAGGCCATCAAGGACACAGAAATTGACAGAATAGACGACGTCACATTAGCACACACACTGCTACCGTCTTCCCCTCCCAAACCTGACGCACATGCGTTGTATTCGAGGTTTTCAGAAATCAGAAAGTCCGAATTGAACGCATCTGCTTTGCTTTCAAAATTCAAGTCTGTCGGAATGGAACGCATATGGGTTGTATTCGAATAGAAAGCAACCTATGAACTGTATTCATTTACAACACGTGTGGGTTATGTTCGGGGGAAGACGGTAGTCCTAAACCACAAGATAACGATCGAACACCAAGACCAAGAGCGATACGAATGCCTTGCCCGCCTCTCTGGCATGAGCTTCATCGACTGCGCAACACTCTCAATGACCCTGGAGCTGGAAGCGGTTCAAAACGTTCAATCATTCCGAACGTATCTGGTCCACATGTGCCTTTCATCTGCATCTTGCACACGTGCATGAAGGACAACTGCAAGCTGCAAGTTGTTCTCTATGAGCACTTGACAGATTCATGTTACTATAAAAAGGTAGATTCTACAACGGTGGAGCTTATATAAAAAAGCAAGCTGGTCTAACTCAACCTCCTTGTCCACACACACACACACACAGAGAGAGAGAGAGAGAGAGAGAGAGAGAGAGAGAGAGAGAGAGAGAGAGAGAGAGAGAGAGAGAGAGAGAGAGANAGAGAGAGAGAGAGAGAGAGAGAGAGAGAGAGAGAGAGAGAGAGAGAGAGAGAGAGAGAGAGAGAGAGAGAGAGAGGCAGGGAAAGGAGGAGAGAGGAGAAAACGTAGACACGGATGCGTAGGAAGGGAGACAGAGAAAAAAATGGGTGGAATGCGGGCAGTGGAGGAGAGGGAAGAGCATAGGCACACATATATAAGGAGGGGGAGAGAGAGAATAAAAAGCAGAGAGGGGCACACATATATTAGGAGGGGAAGAGAGCGAACAAAATGAGTGGAATGTGGCCAGAGGAGGAGAGGTAAGAGCATACATAGCCAGGCAAGTTAAAGACACACAGGTCAAGAGCGGCAATGAATGAAGAATAAACACTTCAAGGCTTCCAAAAAAGGAGACCTTGGAAAACACACACACACACACACACACACAGAGAGAGAGAGAGAGAGAGAGAGAGAGAGAGAGAGAGAGAGAGAGAGAGAGAGAGAGAGAGAGAGAGCAATGGAGGGAAGGGAAGACCGCAGGAAGGTAAGACAGCGGAAGTGAACCACAAATCAAAACTTCAAAAGCTAAAAACATAAAGCAGCAGCAAAAAGCTCCAAAGGTAACTAGAAAAAAAGCACACACCGCAAGCCAATGTCTCGTCAAATCTTGTGGTACACGGCCAATGTCTCGTCAAATCGATTCAGTTATATATATATATATATATATATCGTCAAATAGAACTGCCCGGTAAACCGTAGGCAGAGAGGGAGAACAGGACAACAAACGAGGGGCTATATATATATATATATCGTCAAACAGAGCTTCCCAGTAGACTGTAGGCAGAGAGGAGGGAGAAGAGGACAACAAACGAGCGAGGGCTGTGACAAACTGTTAAACACTGTTTCGTCGGAGTTTCACCAGCTCGTAAAACTAAAACAAAATAAAAACAACACCCTACATTGCTCGAGAGTCCGTACCTTTGTCAAGCATTTTTGAAGCTTGTGCAAGAACGCAAACTGCTCTTGTTGCAGGGACGCAATGACGCCGATAACCCCATTGACGGTACCAAATATCACTGTCGGGATCTGGCTTGCCTCACTGCCACAGTGGACAAACAATTAATCATCCAAAGCATTAAAGAACAACAAAGAGACAAACAAAGAAAGAAAGAACAAAAACAGCCAACTGCTGGCCTAGCTCAGTTGGCACACCCACGAGCGTGTTGAAATAGAGACCCAAGTTGGAATCAAGATGCAATGAGATGAGTGACAATAACTCTCAACTTAACCTGGGGCCGGTCAATTGAAGGATTCAAAAAAACAAAACAAAAAAGAAGGAAAAAAAGAAAAAGCAGAATCATTCAAACCTCCTGAGCAGATCAGTGTGTAGCTGCGTGCGATAGCTTCTTCGCTGAGACTCTATTCGCACTTCTGTGATAACCGAATAGCGGTTTGCAATGAGAGTAGAAGAGTTGTAGGTGGTGGGTTTTCTGTCCGCGTGCACAGAAAGTACAACGCCATTAGCTCCTCTTTGCTTGAAGACCCATACGCTGCACTCCGATAGACCCACTGCTCGGTCTTCGCTGCCTTTTCACCCACCACCTCCTCCATTCTTCACCCATCCCATGTGTGGGTGACTCGTAGACAACATGATATGTGTGGAGAGTTGTAGGTGGTGGGTTTTCCGTCCGCGTGCACAACATGATATGTATCGACAGACAAAGAAAGATTGGGAGCAACAACCTCGTAAACAGTTTGCCGCAAAGTTTCAGACAGAAAGTACAACGCCATTAGTTCCTCTTCGCTTGAAGACCCATACGCTGCACTCCGATAGACCCACTGCTCGGTTGTCGCTGCCTTTTCACCCACCACCTCCTCCATTCTTCACCCATCCCATGTGTGGTGACTCGTAGACACCGGCATGTGAAAGTACGTACTCCGGTCTCACACTAAATGCGTGCAAAGCCAGCATACTGCCCAGACCAATGGTGCTGCTCATCGAAATGCCCCTACCATCTTCCCCCGGAACACGACACGGCCTACAGCGCATCGGAAAGATAGTTTGTAGACATGCGTCATAAAAAAAAAAAAAAAAAAAAAAAAAAAAAACAGACAACTGTCTTGTATTCGGGGGAAGTCCGTAGCTCCACACACCTCCCTGATATGGCACCTGAAAGGTGCTTGATCAGACAGACTAGTTCTCAAGGATGGATCATCCAGCTCGTGTCTCTGGTATAAAGTTGGGGGGGAAGATCTTAAACACCCCCCCCCCCCATGAAGTTGCCCTGCTTCGTAACTCAGCCAACTTGGCAAGTTCACATTTTCATTGCCAGGTTCTTTAGGCCACCTGGTTATGCCTACCTGCTGGTTATGGCGCCTAGTTACGGTGCCTGGTTAAGGCCTTCCTGGTTATGCCCCTCCCGGTTCTGCCCCTCTTGTTGATTAGCCTCCTGATTATGCCTCTGAAACGGTATTCCCCAGTTCGAAGTAGCTGATGTAGGTCCCAGGGCTCGATCCCTAGTTCCCCAACTTACCTGTGTACAATACCTGTGTAGTTGTAGGACTTGAACCTGTGACCTGTAGGATAGCCACTTGCAGGTAGGTCATCATAGGCACCAGAGAAGTAAGGGATTCGAACCACAGACCTGTAGGGCAAAAATCGAAGTAGGGTCCAGAGGTCTTCTAGAAGGTCGACCAGTGGGCAAGTGGTGTAGCTAAGTCTACTTGCGCCGTAGGACTGTGACATCTGTCGAAGTCAACTGGTAGGACCTCAGTAGGACTGCAGTGAGTCGTAGGTGAGTCGTAGTGCAGTCRARGAAGTGTCCAGAAAGTCCCTGTCCGGTCCAGCAAGTACCATATGGGGCTAAGGGTACCGGGGCCAGAGAATACAGGCCAAATCGGAGCTGCGCAGAGGTATAAATCAAGAGGCTGCGTCCAGCCATTC